GCAGTCAAGATAGACTCCAGGAAACTGCAGGGGCAGCAAGAGGTTTTGACTGTTGTACTGGCAAGGAGGAGGCAGAGACGATGCATGAATTTATTGTGACGGGAGCTAGAGAAGACCAGACCTGCTCTTAGTTGAGGGTTAGGTATGTGTAAAGTGACCTTTAAATTCACATGTGTCCATTTTGTAACATAGGCTGGAAAGAGTACTTTCTGAAGCTGAATTGGCTGTGCACAAACTTCAGGTGTGAGAAAAACAGAGGGGATGGAGGGATAAGAAAAGAATCCCACGGAGAGAGAGAGAGAAGATGGTGTGAGAAAAGAAATATTTCATTCTGGCTCTCAGAACATTTGGCTCCCAGGAGTAACCTGCTGAGTCCCTGGGGAAGGCACTACTGAATGTGAATGGGAGATGTCACTCACTGTCTGACAAGAATTGCCTAAGAATGATGAAGCTATGCCTCTGCAGACAGGCCCTGCTGTCTGCTTGAGATCCCTCAGGAGGGAATATCTTTATCCCAGAGGAGAAGATGTATATTCAGAGCACGAACCTGTGTGTGGTACCACGCGCTGGGTTGTCTGTGACCACCACTCTGGGGGTGCATCCTGCACAGAAAGGTTCAGTGAGTATGTCTATTTGCCATCTGGGCTGGACAGACAGAGTGTTTGCATATCTATGTACACAGACTGCACACAGGTCTCTCGCTTTTCCTCTGGGTTTCAATTCAAGGAGTTATTTATCTCGTTCTGTCCACCCCAGCACTCATACTTTCCAACTTCTTAGATGCGATGCATATGTTCTTATCTAAGAGTTAAGGAGGTACGGGGCTGGTGGATCTGAGACCTGTTCTGCGAGTAGCCATAATGCCTTGTAATGGAAGCATCATTTTGGTTCCTGAGCCTTATGAGTGAGGGTTCCGACTCTCTTGCCCCCAGCACCTCCTGCACCTAATTCCAGCAGTCATTGTTTTACTCATTTGTACCCACTGCTGGGCCATAGAAAGAATGGGGGGCTGTTGGCACACTGTCCTTTGTTTGTACACCTGTAAAGGATGATGGCTTCTTGGGTTGCTGTCTCCTCCAAGATGGCTGGGTTGACTGGCCACCCATCTCTTGCTCTTTGTGGCTTTGTAGTGCCTGAGGCTGAGCCCACACATGCTTCCTGCTGCCCCTGTGCTGCTTGCACCATGTGTGTGTGCTCTCTGGACAACTTGTGATAACTAGCCTGGGGCTGGCGAGATGGCTCAGTGGGTAAGACAACTGTCCACTCTTCCAGAGGTCCTGAGTTCAATTTCCAACACCCACATAATGGCTCACAACCATCTATACTGGGGTCTGATGCCCTCTTCTGTCATACAGGTGTGCATGCAGTCAGAGCACTCATATACATAAAATGAATAAATAAATCTTTTTTAAAAAGAGAAAGGACGGGGTGGGGGGGGAGCCAGAGAGAAGTTAAGCCTAGCCTCACCTCTGAAGATGGCCTCTTGACTCCAGGCATCTGGAGGGAATTCAAGTACTCCAAGGCTACAGGCTGCACAGCATAGCTATAGGCAGAGAACTGACATGCATTTCTTTGTTTCTCAGGGTGTCCCAACATCTGGGGACCAGCTCTACAACATCCCTGTTCTGGTTCCATGAGCGGACCACGTAAGGCATGAGGAGGGTTTCATGGTACTCTAGAGCACTCCAGCCTCATGTTAAAACACCCCAGGGAGCTTTCAAAGAGCGCTCCTACCCAAGCCTCTCCACAGACCAATTATCTAATTATCTGCGGTGGTGAGGCCTGGGTAGGGGTGTTTTTTTTTTTTTTTTTTTTTTTTTTTTCCAATGGTTGTGAAGAGATTCTATGGAGAATAGTTAAGAAGGGTACTTTCTCCAGCAAAGAGTGCCAGGAATCCTGAGCAGCCTCGGTTCTACATGGGGGAGGGGTGCACTCTAAAAATGCCAGCTCTCCACCAGGAGACACCTGTGTTCTGGAAGGTGCAGCTTCTGTCTGAGTGGCGCCAGGGCTGGGCTTGAGTCACGGAAGAAACTGCTGCACATGAGAGATGAATGCTGGGTAGGGTGGCCTGGCATCCATCTCCCTCAATCCCTCATCTGAGGAAATTGAATTAAAACCCATATTTTTCAGCTGATGGCTGCCCAGCTGGCTGTCTGGCTTGTGGAGAGGGATGAGGTAGTGAGTACCTCAGGGTAGGGAACAGTGGGTGAGGAGGCACCTCATTCTTTTACTCTGGGGGTGGGGGTGCAGGGAAGGTACTTCAAGAGGGCTCTGCAATCCCATTTCAGGGGTGGTTCTCTAGTCCCCACCTCAATACTTTCCAAAACTTGGCAGTTAGGGTGGGAAATGATGAGCTGGAAAACATGGAAAGTCAGGGTTAGAACTTGACCTGAAGTTGGCTTTTTGGGTGTAAGCACAGAGATAATGAGAGATCTTGGTTCTGTTCTTGAGGACACTCAGTTTGGAGGGTTGGAATTGGTGTAGTTCTTATTCATGGGGCCACATTTGTTAGGAGGACCAGAGAAGAATGCCAGTGACGGGCACAGAGTAGCTCAGGACATAGAGGTCCATCCTGGGCTCGCAGCATAATGGAGAGGGCAGCTGACAAGATAGCCTGCTGGAGTGCAGTGCTTGGTCTGGTAAGTCATCTTCATGCCCCTGTGAAGTGAATCAACTAGGACAAAGCGCCACTCTTGGATGACTTCAGGCATACCTGGCTCAGTGTGTCATGGCTTTTCCACCCTCACTCTGCCTTTGTCAGCTCCCTTTAGGCTGGGTACAAGTAGGACCACGGGTCTGACTGCTCCCTATCTGGGGTTGGCCAGGAACTTACCTTCAGGCCATAGGCTGTGAGGTGAAGGCAGGACGGGTGTGTGTGTGTGTGAGCACCTTACTTCCTTCTGCACAGCTGGCCGCTTGGACAGAGGAAGATGTACATCATGACTACCTTCTCATATACTGTGTTGTGCAAGAGCAGGGTTCTGATTCCCAGACACACTGTGGATAGCCAAGAACAAGCAATAAAGCTGGAACTGGAGGCACAACCTCAAAGTGGCAGGACTCCCATAGGGCAGTCTGACCGTCAGCACTTCTGGAGTGATTCCACGGCCTCCTTCCATACATCCCCTAGTGCCAGTGTCCTGTGTTTCATGTCACTTCCTATCTGGAGGCTCTCAACAGCCCAGCCTCCCCTTGTATGTCTCACAGTTTAAGGAGTACTTTCACAGGAGACATCTCACTTGACCTGTCCTACATCAGGGCCGGAGGCCAAATATTGAAGCTGACCTCCAGCTTGGGAGAACTAGAGTAGAAAAAGATGCAGTTCATTCCAAAGGGTGGTCTTGTTTGACTGCTGACACCCGCCTCACACCTGGCTGTGCTCTCTCTAGAGGGACCCCAACCATTCTTAAGAGAGAAGGAGTGTCCTCCACCACTCTTCCTCTGAACATGGCTTGAACCGAAGACAAGCTGGTGCCAACCAACAGTGAGGCGAGGCACTGAGGTCGCCTCACTTCCTGGACGACAAGGGGAAACCGTGGCCTTGTTGTCTGTATATGTGGGACACTCCATACATCTTTCTGGGACGTTAGCTTGCTCCCTATTCTTAGCTTAATTGTTTTCATTTGTGAAGTGGGGTGTAAAATGCTCATGTCTTGTGAGTGAGGCTTCTGTGTGGCTCTTATCCACGCTTCTTCTCTAACTCCTGGTCCTTTATCTTCAGCTAGACTGACCTTGCTACAGAAAGGCTCAAGTCCTCTTCTTCCTTGGGGAGTCCTCAGAAAGGCCCAGTGATAGGGTGGCCCAGAACTTACCCGAATGGGCAACGACAGGAATCAGTTGAGAGCTGAGTGATGGGGATGCAGAGAACTCACAGGATGCTGTGACTGGGGACCCTTACGACAAACTGGGGGTGGCAGGACAGTTGGCCATGTGACCTTAACCTACAGTGCTCTGCTCATTAAGCCTCCACTTATCAAATTGTACCAGAAGAAGGTTGAGCAGACCACATCACAAATAAAAATAGTAATTTGTTCAGCATCAGTGAGTTATATGAGCCTAGCACAAACTTACTACTGACACACCGACTGTCCCTACGCAACGTTGTTCTCAAGACCCCAGGAATGAGAACAATGAGTCTATAGCACAGGTGAAGAAATTGAGGTGCAGAAACATCGGACCACAAACTCACAGAGCTGGCAGGGCAATCTCATTTATTTGAACAGACCCCCTGTAAGTGTCACCACTCCTTTTCTGGTTGTAGAGATGTCTGCCAAGGTGTCACATTTGAGGACATCCAGACAGGCACCTGCAATTCAACCCTTGCAGACCCGGACTGTGAGCAGAGAAGGACCCAAACAGGGCCTGGGACTTGGTCAGGTGGCAGGTTGCCAGAGGAGGCTTGCGACACGGAGAGGAGAGGGAGAGGGCTTTCTGTCGTGGATGTTTTGCGGTCGAACAGAAAGGTGGTGAGCCCTGAGGAAGGCTCAACTCAGCCCGGAAGCTCTGCGACAGAACTGGGAAAGGGGGGCTGTTACCTCCGCCTCCGCGCCCTGGGTCTCTGCCGCAGCTCCAGCGTGTATCAGTGCGGTGGTCCTCATCCAGCTCCCCATCTCTGCTCGGGGCCTAACCCCGCCCCCGGGCGCTCATTGGCCTGCACCCCACCCCCAGCCAGCAAGGTCCGCCGGGGAGGCGGTGGTCTGTCGCCTCCCTCGGCCCCCCGGGCCTGGCTGCGCAGCAGAGGCGGCGCCTCTCCCGCAGGACAGAGCCGGCCGCGCTGCGCGGGGCGGGCGAAAGCAGACGAGGGGCTCCTCGCTCCGATCCCCGGCGGTGACTGGCGGCATCTTTGGACCAGCGCGATCCTGGTGAGCAATTCGCACACGCCGCGGTGCAGGAACACACAGACCCAGCTGCCCGCGGCCACACGCACCGGGAGACCAGGCTCGGCGCGCGCTCCGCGGCGCACACACTCCAGCCGGTGCGGTTCTGGGCGCGGATTCACGGGCTGCGTGCCCTCTTGCACCTTCGGTCCCGGCGCCCAAGCAGCCCGGTCCGGCCCCGCAGCCAGCAGGTAAGGGCGGCCCCCGGCCTGTCCCTCCGCCCCTCAGCGCGCGTCCAGAACCAGACCCTTCTCCGGCGGGGCCCTTGGATCCCTTCTCCAGCACAGAGGTCTCCAGGAGCCGCGTGCTCTGCCAACCCAGAGCTGGCGAGGACCAGCGCGGGGCACAGCTTCGGAGCCCATCCTCTCCTGCCGCCACTGGCTACCTACGCTTCTTTCTGCCCCATCCAAGTGTCTGGGACCGTGGCTTGGGATGACCATCCCTGTGGACCACTCAGTGAGGATTGGCCTAGATGTCTCAGCCTTTTCTAGTGCCAGAAAGAGAGATTCAGGGGCAGGGATGACACTGCGGCCAGAGGGACCCCAAGAGATCTATCTCCTTGTATCCAGGGTGGACCAACGCGCCTACGCGGATTTGGAAGGAAACGCTGGGAGGTCCCTTGGGGACTTCAATCCACAGTCTGCCGGGTATTTGAGGGGTGGGCAAGCGACGGGCTGGGTATGGAGATAGGATAGGGACCAGTTTAGTTTGTTCCCCAATGGAGATAACCTTTGGGATTGTTTAGAAAGGATAGTTCTATGTTTTATGGTTTGTTTTTTTTTTTTTTTTTTTTTCTTTTCTTAGCACGGAGAGGTTGAGTAAGAGATGGTTAGGCTTTGGTGGTCTAACAAGGAAACGCCCTGCCGGGCCTGTGGGAGAAAAATCGCTGTGGGAGTGGGATTGCTGAAGTGGGCCCATATGAGACCCCGCGGACTGTTTTAAAGGCCCAGGCTCAGCGGTAGCTAGCTGCTGGGAGCAGTACTGTATATATCATCAGCAAGAGCATGTCAGGTTTGGGGGGTTCAGAGGGACTCAGCACCAGTGCATGAAACTAGATGGTTGGGAGCAAGCAGGCAGGAAGGAGACGCTGATGGCATCTCACTGGCTGCTAGGGAGTGAAGCTTCAGTTCTAGAAAGAGCCCAGAGTCGTCTGGACCGTCTTGGGATGAGAATGGGTCTTGCTAATTCCTCAGTCCATTTCAGGACCGGCATGTCTACTTTTCTTTACTTCAGGCTATGTGTCCCATGACCCCTCATTCCCCAAAGAAAAAGAGATTTTTCTGTGTCAGCTCGGGTGCATTCCTGTGAGGGTATGTAGGAGTTTAGAGCCCTTTCAGAGGGTATGGAGGGCAGTTTGCCTTGGGACTGCGGTTGCACTGAGGCAGGCCATTCTGAAGGTCAAGTTGGAGTCTGGACGGTGGCTGTGGCTTAGGAAAAGGATGAGGTACTGTGATTAAGCCTTTTGGAGCCCAGGGATAACAGGTTGCTGCTCTGTTTGTCTGGAAGGCCTTGAGTTGCATTTGGTGCAGTGGGCAGGGGAGGCTGGAGGAGGCTCCCATCCCCAAGTGCAGGCCCAGGACTCCTGCTCCTCACTGACCTTGGAGAGAATAGCCAAAGGCCCCAGTCTGGATACAAGCCAAAACACAAACACACAAATTAAAGACAGGACATGCTGGAGCAGGCCTTGAACCAGATCTTCAGCCATCAACAAGTGTGTGTGGTGTGACTAGGAGTCAGATGTCAGTTTTTGCCATCAGTGCTGGTTCATGGGTGGTGGGACACCTGGGTTGCGATCCCTGAGGGTCTGTCTATCTCTGTGTAGTGAGGGACATGTCTTGGTGAGCCTGTGGGAGGGCCTTTTCCTGCACTCCCAAGACTGAGCCAGGCTAAAGCTTGCATTCATATCCTGTTTTGTGTGTGTTTCAGGCTGGTAAGGGGGCTGATTGGCGAAGTACCTTGGAGCCTTTGATTTTTTTTTTTCCACATGCTCATCTACTTTCAGACACTCATTTCTTTCATTGGTATTGAATGGTGGATGGACTCAGTGGATATTTATAGATCAGTATACAGGTGAACATCTAGAAAGGACAATAGCTGGAGCTGCAAGGTGGTTTTCTCACCGAGGAGGTCATCTAGCTGGGATGCATTTCATTGCTCGGGGATGATATTGAGTAAGTGGAGCTCCCCGCACTGCCTGCCAAATGGCAGGGCCCAGGGTACCCAGTGCAGTGCGAGAGCTTCCTATAGAACTATGCTCACCTGCGAGCCACTCACCTTGGAGCTGATCCTGAAGTGACTGGAAGAGCAGGGGATGTGTGTTAGCAGAGCTGTGATGCCCCAGACAGTGCATGTGAGGGCTTTCTACCCCAGAACACTTAGAGGCCTCAGAAGCTGCCTGCCACTTCTGTTTAGAAGGAGCTGGCGTCTACGCCTGAATGGATTGGACCCCATGTTCCAGCTGCCTGGCAACATGGAAGCAGAAAAACCCTTAGCCGTGATGTGTTTGTACTGAGCTCTGGATGCCGTCAGAAGCGCATGGTGATAACCACCCCCACACCGACACACAGAGGCGTGACACACAGCTGGGGAGGCATGTAGGCTTCCCATGACACCTGCCTGGGTGCTGGGATTAAGTAGATGTTAGCAGCAACAGAGAGACATCCTCACATAAGATCTGGGCACACTTGGTCACAAAAGCCAACCTTAATGAAGGTCCCGGTGTGTGTGTGTGTGTGTGTGTGTGTGTGTGTGTGTGTGTGTGTGTG